TTTGGGGGGGGGGGGGGGGGGGGAGGGGGCGTAGATCACAGGATAAATAATCATTAATTCAAAATTCACAGTAACAAATAACTACTTGCTCGAACGTTAATTTGATTTGAGTTTGGTAAGCTTACACATGTACTTGGAACAACTGTACGCGGCACGTACGCCAAAATGAAAGCGAAAGCGTTCACCAGTCTTCATAAACTCACCTTGTCACATATCATTTTATAGGTGAGATCCTGGCCAAACTGCGGCAACCTGATGGCTACCCTGTCCGGCTTTTCCCTGGCCGCTTCCTGCAGGCATTCCCACACCGTGCGTCCCACTAGAGGCTCGCTGCTGGCCCCGTGGATGTAACTGTTCTTTAACGGTTCGTTTGGAGGCGTGGCATCGCTGGATACAGAGGTGAAAAAGAGTAATATGAAGTATACTGCAAACACCGATTGATATAAGTGCGACTTAATGAATTAAAATAACAGAAAGACAGGCAGTCAACCAAACAGAAGGCGAAAAAGACAGGCAGACAGACAAATAGACTAGAAGACAAACAGACAGGCAGACAGGCAAATAGACTAGAAGACAAATAGACAGGCAGACAGACAAACGCTATATTACCCTTGGTTTTCAACAACTGCCTTCCACATCTCGTGCCGTGTTGTGAGACGTTAAGGTTGTTGTGCACAGAGGTAAATGTTGTCATGGGTGTTTATATAGTGATGTCAAGTGGTCTGGGACATGTAGGTAGATCAGGGTCACCACCTCGTGATTTCACACTAGTTTTGCATGCGGTAACGTGACACACTCCCCCATAATAGAGAGTCCGTTATCCATTCATTTGTACAGGTAAGCCTCGTCCTAGATTTTGACCCACTTAGGTCAGGCTAACCCTAACCATTATAACTATATGTAGGGCGGACTTTCTGTTACACGGACCCTCAGTAATAGATAGACCCCGAGTCAGCGAGGGTTATGTGGCATGCACGAGTGCATAGCACGAGTGGATGTCACATAACCCCCGCTGACGAGGGGTCTATCTTACTTAGACCACGGTCCATGATCGGGTTATAACGCATTCATGCGAGACGTGGGGTTATGCGAGTTACACCACGTCTGAGTCTTTTGTTCTTCACTTCCACCGTGGTCTAATATAACATAAACCCTAACTTAAAAAAAAAAAAAAAAAACAGAGACTTACTTTGAATGTAGAAATGGATTCATTAACCATTGGTAGGTATGGGAAAATTGTTGTTTACTCCGGGAAAATTAATTTTTTGGCCAAAACGAACAGTTATTATCCCTCTAACCGTACTATTTCAGCGCACAATGTGATAAATATTTCTGACCAAAAAGAGTCAATATAATCTCTGTTGACTCCCACACCCACTGTTAAGGAGTGAGACGGGAAGAAATATAGGCACCACTAGAGGGCACCACAGACCTCCGACAAGGGAAACAACGTCAATTGCTGATAGGAAGAACAGAAACCAAATCCCTTTAGAACATTAGAAGACCCGCTCTGAGCTTCAGAGATAACTTGAAACAAAACTCTCCCGTAACTTGCAACGGCAAAGGTTTTCTTTAGTGTAGAGGTTTGTTTTAATTTATCTCTGACGCTCAGAGTGTACTGTAGAAGACCCGGCCGGTGTAGCAAGAATGGAAGTCCAGACTTTGATATGATTAGTACAGGTTAGGGTTAGTCGTTGTATTGGGGTTAGTATATGGGACGAATGTCACCTGTACAAAGTAATGGGAAGCGGACCACGGTTCCTAGCGGACTTCTATTCTTGTTACACCGAATTCAGTTGAAATCTTTATCGCGTTTTTCCCTTCTGAATTACTGCCTATGTTGAAATTTAATTATATCAATTCCACCAAGTTTTTTTTAAGTTATCTTGGTCACTAACGCTGATTAAAACATTACTTCTCTCGTTGACATACATGTAGGTAATGAAACCATCAAACATCACACTCCATACTGAAGTGTGACAATCCCAGGCTTTCTGTAAGTAATAGAAATATCAATATTAATTTTCTACGACAAACTGCGCATGAGTAGTTTTATAGCCCCGCTCAGCCTGGCCGACTTTCTTAATAGCGCTCGGTTTTAGAATCAAAATCAAAATCAAAGTTGTAACTGCATTTATACGTTTTGTTTTTGCTCTTTATTCACTATATGACAAATTCTTTTGGCGAATCTGGAAAATCTTGGTTAGCAAAGCGTTAATTGCTCCTAAATCAACTTCTGTTTTTTGGTTTGGTGTTGCTGGAAGGGGGAGCTTTAGGGTGGGCTAATAATAATAATAATGATAATAATAATATAAAAGTCAATTCAGGTATTGGTTTTAGAGACAAAAGTTTTATAGCTATTTTTTTAAATTGGCTGGAGTTGCTGCATGTTTTTCAAGTACATTAATTACAACTAGAAAAGCACTCAGAGAGCGCAGACCTCCGCCAAGGCAGCAAAGTCTTCATCCGATGCCGTTTCACCCCTTAATTTTCGATATTTTTGATTATTGATTGATTATTGATTCGGATCACCACCAAAAACTAATCATCTATTCCTTGGCCCACTTCTGACAGTTCCTGAAAATTTCATCAAAATCGGTTCATAACTTTTTGAGTTATGTTGATGACAGACAGACAGAAAGACAGACAGACAGACAGACAAACAGGGGTGAAAACATAACCTCCTTGCCGGGAGTAACGAGGAGACTATTCCATTCATTAGGAGCAGAAACTTGCACAGTGCATAAGAAAGTCACCATTGTTTTTTTTTTTTTAATCTAACTTAATATACATGGTATCAGTAATTATTGATAAAGTGACCTCAGCGTATGATTTTATGTTAAACGAACTTCATANGATAAGGATTGAAATCGTGTTTAAATAACATTTAATTATCTCCTTGATGTCATTGTGACGTCAGTTTATTAATTGAATTCGCCGGTGGAAAAAAAACAAAAATACATTGCCTATTCTAGAGTCTTTAGACAACCATTAAAAGCGATATATGGATCTCCATATTTTCCAAGTTATCGTCTATAAAGGCCCCGTCACACTAGTGGCGGAATGAGCAATGCTTTGTACGTTCCTGGACATTCAAAGAGCATTCTAAAATTTCTGAGTGCATTCCAAATATTTTAACCATTCTTGTCGCCGGCCCGAATGTTTTTTTCAGGCTCAAAACATCGAAGTGTATTCCAAGTGGACAAATATCTAATGGCATTCTAAGTGTATTCTAACTGCACTATGAGTGCATTCTAAATATTCTTAGGGCATTCCGACAACGTTCGAAACATTCTGATCTCGTTCGAGGGAGAACCGAAATGGCAAGTCACTTCAAATCCTACTAGAGTGAGCGGGAATGCAACTCGAATGCATCTCAATGGCTGCCGAAATCCCATTTCAGGCAGCAATCAAACTACACTCGTACGGTGTTAGAAGTGTATTCTAAATATGCTGATTTCAATCTGACATCATTACCTGTACTCATGCAGTATTGACTGAATTTTCACCTGTATCAGAAGAAGATGTTTTAGCATTAATGAAAAGCATGAATTCTAAATCTTCTGCCTTAGATCCTGTGCCAACACATATTATCAAAGAGTGCATTACTGTTCTGGCCCCAGTTATTTTAAAGATAGTGAATCTCTCTTTACAACAGGCATCTTCCCATCCAACTGCAAAACAGCAATTGTTAGACCCTTGTTAGAAAAACAAGGCCTGTGCAAACAAGTGTTTAAAAATTATGGACCAATATCAAACTTGCCCTTCTTAGGGAAGTTTCTTGAGAAAATGGCATGTATACAACTGAATAACTATCTAGCTCATAACAGTCTATATGGCAGGTTTCAATCAACTTATAGAGAAGGACATAGCACAGAAACAGCTCTCCTAAGGGTTCATAATGACATCATGCATTCCTTAGACAGACAAAAAGATGTTATTTAATCCTTTTAGATCTGTCTGCTGCATTCGACACCATTGACCACAACATACTTCTGCACAGACTACAGTACCGATTTGGAGTAAATGATTTAGCACTTAATTGGTTAACCTCATATCTAAAAGATCGAACACAAAAGGTGTCAATTGAGTCGTTGCTATCAGAACCCACTATTTTAGAGTATGGTGTCCCTCAGGGGTCTGTGCTAGGTCCATTGCTCTTCTCATTGTATATGCTACCAATAGAAGACATTATAGTTAAACATGGTCTCAACACTGTCATTTTTGCTGATGACACTCAAATTTATGTCAAAAGTGAAAGTAATCGCTCCATGGCTATCACCTCAATAGAAATTTGTCTAGCTGAGATCCGGAATTGGATGAAAACAAATATGCTAGCACCAAATGATGGAAAAACTGAACTAATATGGTTAACATCAAGGTCTAAGTCAGACAGTGGAAATACAATGAAATCTGATATTTGTATCGGTGGTGTCAACATCAATCCATCTAGCTATGTGAAAGACTTAGGTGTCACCTTTGATCAGTATGCAACTATGGATAGACGGATCTCTGAAATTTGCAAATCGGCATCATACTCACTTTGGCAAATTAGTAAGATACGTGACTTACTGGACAAAACTTCAACTGAAAAACTAGTCCATGCTTTCATTACTTCCAAGCTTGATTATTGCAACAGTCTCTTATATGGTTGAGGCAAAAATCATCTGAACAAACTTCACTGGCTTCCATTAAGAGAGAGAATTTTATTTAAAATTGTGTGTGTCATTTTTAAAGCAGTCACTGAGAATAAACCACTTTATCTCAGAACTTATGAAGCAACATCAGCATGGAAGAGTTACCAGGTCTTCAATTTTTTAGTCATTTCTTTTAGCACACAGTGTCTTAGAGAAAAAAGCTGGTAAATTTTACGGTGAAAGGGCATTTATGTTATATGCACCCGAAGTTTGGAACACCTTACCCTCTGAAATACGAGCAGCAGGTGACATAGATACTTTTAAAAAGCTTTTGAAGACTCATACTCATATTTTTAGAATAGCTTATCAGTAACTATCATATAGTTAATTTTAGTTTTTAATAAGGTGTACTGTAATTTTATGATTAATTTTAAATGTTGTCACTTTAGTTTCTTATCATTTTAGAATATGAAATAATTGGTTCTTTAAATTAGTTCTTAGTCCTTTAAAATTGTAATGTGTTCTTATACTAGTATTGTGATATTTAGCTCTTTTAAGTGAATGTTGTAAGGCGCATTGATATTTTTAATGGAATGCGCCATAGAAAAATAAATTATTATTATTTTTTTTTATCGATATTCCTACTTTTCCAACTACACTCGAGAGCTAATACAGTCGTAGTGTGCACGAATCATTCCAGGCGGATTCAAGCGCATTCTGAATATTCCAACGGCATTCTTACAAGAATTTAAGTCAATTTGAAATTTCTTCCCGAATGTAGTACGAACTTTGAAAATTCTTCCTCCCGGCTGGTTCTGCTTGATTCCTGCTGATTCCGAATAAGTGTGACGCCCCACAAAGGACCCTCATGTCAGTGTCTAGTCACAGCATTGGTCGTTGTTACGCCGGACCTCATCTTGCTGCTACCAGGGCTCTAAAGCGTCAAGGCATTCCTTGGGATAGATTGTTAGAGATTCATCTGGAATAACATACCAGACATCTTTCAAAACGTGTCCAATTTGGTCCAGTGTTATTGTAGTGCATGAAGGCCGTTGAGACGGCAAGTCTGTAGTATGTTAAGCTCATATAAATAAAATGTTAACAATTTACTTACATACTTAATTATCGCATGTATCTTCTGAAGTCTACATAACGCTTTTATTATGGATTTAAGACATTATTATTATTATTATTATTATCACTAACATAATATGAGCAGTAACGAAATACTTAGGTACAGCTGAGTTTGCTTGTATGTCAGCCAGGGCTATGCGCTCACGAAATGTGAAGTTAGCATTTGTGCTTCAGCATCTTTGATCTGGATGCTAGGTGCGAGATCTTTTGCAACACCGTAATCTAACCGTAAGTTAAATAAAAAACTCCCAAAATACTTATTTCGTATTTTATATAGCGTTAAGCAGAGTGGAGGAAGTGTTAATGATGGGAAACTCAGGACAAAAATTAAGTTTGTAGTCGCCGATATTTTTAATATTTGAAAGTGTTGAATTGGAAACGACCAAACAGTTTCTAACAGATGAGGTAAATTAAGTTTTATGTATGCATTGCATAATTAATGAAACTCAATGTAAATGAGAGCTGGGTACAAAGGTCATTGTAATGATTTCCCCTGTTTTAACTACACCAATCAAGCCGTGCAGCTGTATATCTTACTTCTGGGCATACCATGTACCCCTATATACATGTATAAACACAAGTATATGATGAAAATTGTTCGTGCATTAATTTTTATCATACACTGTAAAAACAGTGTTTAGCTCCTAAACACATTTCTAAGTGNTAAAGAAATTAAATGATATGGTGGGGGGAGGGGGGGTAGATACGTGTATATTGCATGCATAAAACTACCAATTAAGTAATAACTCAAGGTTTTGGATATGATCCGTGCTGTATCAAGGAGCCAATGTTACCGTTTTTAAAGTGGTGTAGTGCGCTTTTCCCTGGGTGTGCAGATTAAGTTGCGCGCTGAGATAAGTTTACGTGCTCATCTTTACCTTTTACATGCTTTCAATTTCATTCTTTGTATTTTTAGTTAAAAAGTCTAAATAATTAAACAGTTTGCAGAACAACCAAGGCGTGTAAGGCCTACTAGAACCTGAATCGTGGGGATCTAGACTAAATGAATATTAGGAAGAAGAAAAAAAAACCCTATTGTCGAAGTTTTTCTGGCGGGAAGCAAAATATTTTTCCTCAGGCTACCCGTCTAGCAGGTCTAGGGAGTCAACATCTAGGTCCCAAAATCCGTTCAGGGAATTAGGATATTTTCGTCTTAACTTCACCTTACTGCAAACAGACGTGACTTTAACCGTACACAGAAAACAACTTGTACCAGTAGGCCTACAAATACGTTTAATGAGACCGCTGTAACATAAGCCTTGATGTGAATTTGGTCGTTGTTTTCAATAATAGCCACCAGATAGCGCTACTGACCAAGAGTATTTCATCGTGCTTTATAAACCTTGAAGTAATATGCTTTATCTCTCTTGTCTTGTTTTTAAATAGCAAATTAAATATATGATACAGATGTATGTGCATTTCACTCACTTGCCGAAGAAGTGAGACAAGAAAACTTGGGTTTTGCATTTTAGATCGTCTTGGTTGACGCGCGTGGACTACGCATGCGCATAGGCGCCGCTACCTCCTGCACTTCCTGTGTACTTGTCTGAAGGGGTGCAGGTTGTAATCTTTATTTTGTTGTTTCTCCACATGACAACTGATGCCGGAATAATTTAGTAAGAAACTTGCATCTTAAGGATTCAAAGATGGCACTGACAAAGGGCTTGTTGTTGCGCTCCCTCAGTGTAGCCGGCTTTCAGTCGACGAAATTGACGAGTCAGTTGGTCGTCCCTGCTACTCCGCTCGTCGTGCAAGCTGCAACCATCACTAGAGGCCCAAAGAAATGGCCGAAGTACCCCTTCCCGTACAAGAGACTGAGATACAGAATGTGTTACAGACTATTTTGGCGTGGAAACGGTAATCTAGTTCCTAACGAATCGAAGGTTATCGTTGTCGACGGCAACGCTGCGGTTGGAAAATCCGAATTTGCGAAGGAGTTGGCAGAAAGATTGGACTTCAAAATGTTCGATGAACCCGAGGAACTCTTCTCGCGATATTATACCTGGGCTGGACAGCCTGATGATCCAAAGGCTATGAGTCCAAAAGATGCTCAGACCTACCATTTTCCGCAGTTTTTTTCTGATCCTGGCCGCAATAGAGGGGCGTGTATTGGGCTGCAGTTGGAGTTGTTCAAGTTGCGATATTTTCATTATTGTAAAGCGTTGAACCACCTTTACAGCACAGGTAAAAAGAGAAAAAATAAATAAATATATAAATAAATAAATGATTCACTTCAAAGTTAATTGATACTAGATACGTATTGAAATAACAATGTTTGAACGGCCATGGGAATGCGTCCGTGGCACTGGGTAGCAACAAAGGGCATCAAAATTTCAACATGGCGCTGATCCTGTGAGAACGCCTTTCGCTTAGAATATGCTTGGTATTTTGCTTTAGCATCATAAATTTTGGAAAACGTAACATTAAACACATTAAAAATTATCAGGGAAACGTACACTTATAACTTCACAGAGTTGAGCAAGCACGCTGCAATCCTGAATTGGCAGTTAAACAGCGAGGACATGTAATCATCTGTAGTGTATTACATGCCAAAAATTGGGAACTAGATATGGCTATTTTAATTAGTCCCATGTTATATTCATGTGAATGGAAATGTCCACTATTTACGCTATGTCCCTTGGGCGTATCTGAATGGGGAAACAAAACTACATGCTAGCTGTGGATATGTTGTTGTGCGAGTCTGAAGGAATTGAAACAAGATTGGGTTATAACATCTTTGATTACATGCTTGGATAACAGGACTTCCTTACACCTTGTTGTTTTATGACAAGCGGTATTTCAAGAATTTAAATCCCAAAATTGATCGATTTGTTTAGTTCACATGTATGAGATATCCAACTTTGTACTGAAGTTAAAAACAAACAATGGTAATGCACAATAACCCATTTTCTTCACCCATCAAAATTTGCCACGAAGAATGATCCCTGAAATGACCAAAAAACATGACAGTACCATTCTGAGAGGTTTCTTTTCCATAATGTACAACAGACTGGTATGTCTGTGTCACAGATTTAAGGGCTGTTTGAGTGTCATTTTCTGCTAAGAAGTTTATACTACAAAGCAATGTTTGGAAACACAAAGTTGTTTGCTATAATAAGACAAATCCATCCCCTTTCACATGAAAGCACCCCCATTGTTATCCAACACACAGGAATATTTTGACAGACTTTTAAAGATGATAACCTGTTGTTGTTACCTAGAACTGTGGACGTGCACATTTATTAAAGCTGATGTCAGTTGCCACAGTTTTCTCAGAGAATAAGATGATAAATGGTAAAGATAATAGATTCAGTTGATCACTGGCAACTCTTGGAAATTTAATGTTGTGCATGTATATAAGCTTGACATTGTTGGTAACAATTTTGTTTGTTTTGTTTCAATGTAGGCCAAGGTGTTGTGCTAGTGCGTTCCCCATTTAGTGACAGAGCATTCGTGGAGACCTACTTTGATCTAGGCTTACTGCCAGGAGCCGATTGTAAGTATTGAATATATAATCCGATAATTTCTTCATCGGAGTTTTTTGTTTGAAGGAATTCCTGCCTTCATAAATTGTTAAAATAAGTAGGAAAAAGGGAAAAGTCATTTTCTTTAAAATGAAGTAAATCATCTTTTGCATTTGAAGGCGGTTTAATGTATTGTGTGGTCCTTCCTTAGCTCTTCCTGTGGATTTGATGGTGACTATGACCCCATTTCCAGAGATTAGATCGATCTACTTTAGATCGACCTAACTCCCTGGAGGTTCACGCTAAATAGCTGTCAGCCGAGCGAACACGAAAGTTAATTATCCCCTTATGCCCCTATTTCACACAGACCACGAATCCCACGAATGGCCATGAATTGACAAACTTCAGGATTCGTGGTTGAATCGTAATCAGCTCGTGAAGTTCTTAACAGATTCATACATATTCGTAGTCAGTTCTTGCACTTCTTGACCAACAGGAATTGGTGGCAAAAACTTTGATGCCCCTATTTCACACAGATCACGAATCCCACTCNTCTTTATTTTCTGTTTTTTGTCTGTACATTTGACAGCTTTGCTGCCTTGTTATTGTTTTAAATCAGCATGTAAATAGATACATAATCAAAAAACTGGATTCAGGAAAAAACTCATTTTCAGTATATGAATGCTAATAAAAGTTATAATATCCTTAAGGACCTTGACTGACTAGGCTGATCTTGAATGACCAGAACTGCAGATAGCTTTGTCAGGTGGAAAGGGGGGGGGGGGTCTTTTTCTGAAAAGTGGAGTTTCCCAACCCCCTGTCAGCTAACCTAACTTGGAAAATTAACCAGGATTAAATTTGGATTCAGAGTGAACCTTGTATAGCTAGGAGGGTAGTTCCCTCCCCCCTCCATCCCCCTCCACCCCCACCCCCCTTACTCTCACCCCACCCCTGCCATACAGACCTGCTTATAGTTGTAAAATATAAGGGATATGTGAAATAGCTGAGTGTATGTAACCTAACTGCTGCATTGTTGTAGGAAATGCATAGAGCTTGGAAAGATATCACTGTAAAATTGAAAAAAAATAACAGTAGAATATTTGATCAGTCTGACAATTTTTGATATAAATGTTTGATAATTTGATTAAATTTGATTCCGACAAAATTGTACAAGAGTGAACCATGGCAGTGTTCAACAAGATGGACTCAGGTAGGTTAGTGTGACCATCAGGGGATTAGGTGACTTGCTTTTAAGTGGGGTTGGCCACAGACTAACTGATCTGTGGATCATTTGTTCTGAAAGTTTTCTTGGTGAGCAAATAATTCTTGTAGGTTGCCCCCCCCTCTCCCCCCTACACACACACACACACACACACACACACACACACACAGTGAGTTCTGGCTGTTGTCTTTTTCAGCTATGGCAACAAGAGACTGCAGGTCAAGCTTTTCCAGAGATATGTGGACCGCCTGCACTTTACCGCTGGCAGCCTCTGGGGCACCGACACGGTTGATTCGTCTCAATGGCTTCCCAATGTAATATATATGCATTACACAGACACATGCATGCATTTGTGACTTATTTTTGGAGTCATTAGTTTCTTAAAAATTAATTATTATGTTGGGTAATTACTTTGAATTGACCAGTGGCAGTCTGCCTCCCTCACACATGCACACAGACCAGCAGAACAGGGGATTTTTTCTCTTGCTTTTTTTGACAAATTAGTCTCTTGACAGTAAAGTTCATTCTACTCATCTTTTTATATCATTTTGTATGTCTGTATTCTCATGAGAAAGAAAGTCATTAAATTCAAGTCACTTTCAGAGTCGGCTCCTATATATACAAAATTAAAAAATAATAAAGATTAACTTGAGACGTTTCTAAACTTAAACAATGAGTTTCATGGACATACCCTACAGGTGTTTATTCAAAATGATATATCAACTGGTTATACCATTGCAACCCTATGGATGTCTGTGAAACTCAGAGTTAAGGTTTTGACATGTCTTGAGTTTATTTATTAAATACTTTTTTAAAATTGTGTATTTGTTAAAGTTGAGTTTGCTGAATACCATATATACAATGTGTGTGTGTGTATTGGGATCAGCATTGCTGGCAAAAAGCCGGGTTTCTTATTACTTAAGTCTGTTTATTATTATTACAGTAATTTAATAAAGCAGAGAATAGTGTGACTTACATTTATCTGTGTGGGTAATTTGCATATTAACATGGTGTTTTTTTTTTTTTTTTTTTTTTTTTCTTACAGGAAGAAGTTGTGCGCAAAATTTCATGACTTGGATATATCAAGAAACCCTGAATTCACTTATGACTGAATAAAGTCCTCTTTTAGGAAATGTTTTGATCAAGCTTGAGTTCTTTGTAAATGAAGATTTATTGCGATGGCTTATTGTTTAAAAAAAAGGACTCATTTATTTATTACCAAGGAATGGCTGTGTAGCTGAACTGGAATTATTATGAGACAGGAGGACAGTCACTGCATAGGAAGAATGGATATATAGTTTGGATATATAATTTTTTCGCCGAGGAAAAGTTTGATGACTTGGAAAGATAGTTTAAGCACTGTTTTATAAGTTTCTGGTTATGCTGTAAACAAGTCTTTTGCTCCTTTTAAATAAAAATGTGATCCAACGCTCTTTTCTTCTTTTAATTGAATATTTTATTACACAGAAATATATACATGTACCATATTTACATAATGAACACATATCACAGATGTTGAAGAAAGGAGATGGAGAAATGTCAGTGTCACAATATTTATCCAAAGTTTGCCCTCGGTATTGCATAACCAAATTGAACAATGTCAAATAGATGTAAGGATTGACTGAAAAGTTGACATCCACCATAGCACAAAATGATTTCAAACCACATTTGAAACTACAAAGCTCAATTTCATAAAGGTAAGAATTTTTTTCTATGATGAAGTGTAAAGTGGTACGTTATGTGCTAAAGGGCAAAATGCTCTTGCCATGTTCTTGGCAACTGATAAACTCTATCTTATGGTGACTCTGGCTTCAACTGCTGGCTACCAAAAAAAGGGTCAGTCCATCATCAGTGTAAGCATGCCCTTATTGTGCTTTCAGGAAAATGGTGTGATTCTGAAACTTCCACTGACCTGATGATGATCATAACTGTCAATAAGCATGCCTCTACACAAAGAACTACCCTTTACTGCTGGGGAAGATTTGAAGCCTTTTAGCCAGATTGCTGAATTCAAAAAAGTTTGACCTCTTTTAATTTAAATTAATTTGAGTAAAACAGTCAAGAAAATAGTTAACACTTTCCCAATCCAAATATGGCTACTTCAGCATTTAGCCAACGTGCATTAAGGAAGAGAGAGTCCTGGGAAACACACTGGCCTCCTTGTTGACTGTCTTCATGTGGCTACTTCAAGGGATGATCTACGCAAATTTAGGAACTCTCTTCTCTCTGATCAAGCTGGTAGGTAATAAGAGGGCAGTCTGCAGTGTTTACTGTGCCTCCACTGAGGGTATCATCACCACGTGGGTTCTGGTCAAGCTTGTAGGTAGTAAGAGGACAGTCTGCAGTATTTACTGTGCCTCCACTGAGGGAATCATCACTACATGAGTTCTGGTAGAGGGGCGGCTGTCGTCGGCACAGTCAGTCAGGTTTCTGAAATAACGGTTTATTTATTTATTTGCTTTGGATACAAACACTGGCTCATGATCAGAACTGTAGGTCAACATTCACTTACAAATGCTTGTATGGAACACTAAGCTGATGCAAGAAAGGCCTCTGTTCTGAGTGTTTACAATTAAATATAGTAGGGTTTACCTTGGGGGTGGGAATACTAGTTTGATGTGGGATCAATGTATTTCTAGGGAGAGGGTTGATTATCAGGGAAACACCTGTTCATTGTTACGTAAGTTCATTGACGTAAGACAAACTCTCTGTGGACCAGGACACTGTTAATAGTTTTAGCATTAAAAAGTTGTAGGGTCTACTGGGGGGTGATGTTAAGAGGGGAACAGTCTGTTGAATAATCTATGTGTTTGGAGTGGTGGGGTGGGGGGGGGGGGGGGGGGTAATTGTTATTGGGGGGGACTTACCTGGCTGGGGGTGGTTGGAAGGGG